AGGGGAGCAGTTTCAGTGATTCTGGCAAGCATTGGAATCTGTTAGCTAACATGATACTCAGTCCCAAATGGTGGTTAAAATCACACTGTTCCATTTTTAAAACTATCTGAAGGGGACAGTGAAGAGAGAGCTTTACTCTGTATCTAACGCCTTGCTGTCCCTGTCCTGGAAGTGTTTGATTTGGACAGTGTCAAGTAAGCTTTACTTTTATTTTAAAAGTGCAGGATGAGCTTTACCCCTGCGCTGTGCCTGTTCTGGGAGCATTTGACGGCGACAGTGTAAAGGGACCTGTAATTTCAGTTTAAAAGAGTGGAGGCTGCTTTACTCTGCACCAGTGTTGAAGGAAATATACAAACTGTTTAAAATAGCAGAGGTAGCTTTACTCCGTATCTAACTTGGCACTGTACTTGCCCTGGGAGTGCTTGATGGGAACAGCATTTCGGGAGTTTTTTTTTAATTCAAACAGGGGATAGCAGTTATTGCCCGTCCCTAGTTGCCCTTGAGAAGGCAGTAGGTGAGCTGCCTTCTTAAACTGCTGCTGTCCATGTGCTGTAGGAAGATCCGTAATGCTCCTTAGGGAGGGAATTCCAAGATTTTGACCTAGTGACACTGAAGGAACAGTGATATATTTCCATGTCAGGATGGTGAGTGGTTTGGAGGGGTACTTGCAGTGGTGGTGTGGCAAAGTATCTAGTGCCCATGTCCTTCTAGACAGAAGTGGTTATGGGTTTGGAAGGTCCTGACTAAGGATTTTTGATGAAATTCTGCAATGCATCTTGTAGATGTTAAATACTGCTTCTACTGTGCGCTGGAGGTGAAGGGAGTCAATACTTGTAGATGTGGTGCCAATCAAATGGGCTGCTTTTTCCTGGATGATGCCAAGTTTCTTGGGTGTTATTGGAGCTGCACCCATCCAGGCAGGTGAGGCGTATTCCATCACACTCCTGACTTGTGCCTTGTAGATAATGGACAGGCTTTGGGGAGTCAGGAGTTGAGTTACTTGCCACACTATTCCTAGACTCTGATCTGCTCTTGTAGTCACCGTGTTTATGTGGTTTCTAGTCAATGGTAACCTCAATACTGTTGATAGTGAGGGAATTCAGTGATGGTAACACCATTGAACATCAAGGGGCAGTGGTTAGATTGTCTCATAGGAGATGGTCATAGCCTGGCATGTGTGTGGCTGGAATGTCACTTGCCACTTGTCAGCCTAAGCCTGGATATTGTCCAGATCTTGTCGCATTTGAACACAGACTGCTTCAGTATCTGAGCAGTCACGAATGGTGCTGAACATTGTGTAACCATTGGCAAACATCCCCACTTCTGACCTTATGATGGAGGGAAGGTCTTTGGAGGAAGCAGCTGAAGATGGTTGGACCTAGGATACTAGCCTGAGGAACTCCTGCAGAGATGTCCTGGAGAGGAGAGTTCTCACCTCCAACAACCATGACTGTCTTCCAATGTGCCAGGAATGACTCCAACTGGTGGAGATTTCACCCCCAATACCCATTGACTCCAGTTTTGTTAGAGCTTCTTGATGCCACGCTCGGTCGAATGCAGCCTTGATATCAAGGGCTGTCACTCTCACCTCACCTCTGGAATTCAGCTCTTTTGTCCATGTTTGAACCAAGGCTGTAATGAGGTCAGGAGCAGAGTGGCCCTGGTGGAACCCAAACTGAGCAGGTTATTGCTGAACAGGTGCTGCTTGATAGCGCTGTTGGTGACACATTCCATCACTTTACTGATGATTGAGAGTAGACTGATGGGGCAGTAATTGGCTGGGTTGGATTTGTCCTGCTTTTTGTGTACAGGACATTCCTGAGCAATTTTCCACATTGTTGGGTAGATGCCAGTGTTGTAACTGTACTGGAACAGTTTGGCTAGGGGAGCGGCAAGTTCTGGAGCATATGTCTTCAATATAATTGCTGGAATGTTGTCACGGTCAGTGCTTCCAACCGTTTCATGATATCACGTGGAGTGAATCGAATTGGCTGAAGACTGGTATCTGTGATGCTGGGGACCACTGGAGGAGGCTGGGATAGATCATCAACTCGGCACTTCTGGCTGAAGATTGCTGCAAATGCTTCAGCCTTATCTTTTGCACTGATGTGCTGGGCTCCTCCATCATTGAGGGTGGGGATATTTGTGGAGCCTCGTCCTCCAGTGAGTTGTTTAATTGTCCACCACCATTCATGACTGGATGGGCCTGGACAGCTGAGCTTAGACCTGACCCATTGGTTGTGGGATCACTTAGCTCTATTCTATCACTTGCTACTTTCGCAGTTTGGCTGGTTAGTCATCTGGTTTGGAGGCATCACCAGGTTGATACCTCATCTTCAGGGATGCCTGGTGCAGCTCCTAGCATGCTCTCCTTCACTCTCCATTGAACCAGGGTTGATCCTCTGGCTTGATGGTAACGGTTGAGTGGGGGATATGCCGGGCCATGAGGTTACAGATTGTGCTGGAGTACAATTCTGCTGCTGTTGATGGCCCACAGCGCCCCATGGATGCCCAGTCTTGAGTTGCTAGATCTGTTCGAAGTCTGGTTTACCATGATGATAGTGCCACACAACATGCCAGAGTATCTTCTGAATGCAAAAGCTGGAGTTGTCTCAAGGACAGTGTGATGGTCCCTCTTACTGATAATGTCACAGACAGATGCATCTGCATTCAGCAGATTGGTAAGGATGAGGTCAACTATGTTTTTCCCTCTTATTGGTCCCCTCAGCAGGGGCCGCAGACCCAATCTAGCAGCTATGCCCTTTAGCACCTGACCAGTTTGATTAGCAGTGCCACTGCTGAGCCACTTTTAGTGGTGAACACTAACATTCCCCCAACCAGAGTACATTCTGTGCCCTTGCCACCCTCAATGCTTCCTCCAAGTGTTGTCCAACATGGAGGAATGCCAAGAGAGGACAGTCCATGGTAACGAGAAGGTGTCCTTGCCCACTTTTAACAGAAAGCCAATAGACCTCATGGAGTCCGGAGTCAATGTTGACGACTCCCAGAGCAACTCCCTCCTGATTGTATCCCATGTGCCACCACCTCTGCTGGGTCTGTGTTACCAGTGGGACAGGACTTATTCAGCGATGGTGATGGTGGGGTCTCAGACATTGTGTCTAACCTGGCCTGGGAGTGTTTGTTGAGGATAATGGAGAAGAAGCTTTACTCTGTAAAGCTCCTAGCCTGGCAGTGTTTGATGGGGCCAGTGTCAAGAGAGCTTTACACTGTATCTAATCCTGCACTGTACCTAACCTGGGAATATTTGAGGGGGACAATGGGTTCCTGAAGCAGGAAGGAAGATTCAAATCTAATGCAACAACATCCTTCTCCTTAACAAATTGCTTCCCAGAAAACCTTCTGATTTGGACGGAAGATAGTGATTCAGTTTCGTTTATGTCCATTTTTAAAGTGTCTTTTTATTTAGCACTTGGTTGATGAAATAATCCCACAATGTGAACAATTTGTTCACCACAGTATTTAATTTCATTTGGGAATTCACACACACACACACGAGATGTTCTCCAAGCTCCGTGCTCTCCCTCACTCAGTCAGATTCCGAGATGCACCACACTGTGGACAAATGCAATCACCTCATTTTCGTAAACCTGCTGCATTTTTGATTTTGACACCTCCCAATGGTTGTGGGCTTGTTCATCTCCAGTGGACACTCCACTTAGCCCTGTTTGCCATTCCCTGCTTCTCAACTGCATTCTGATCAAGGTTTACATCAAAAGCCAACAAACAATCCATGTCCCTTAAAGACCAGCGTAGCAAATAAAAAAAAAATCCAACAGGGGTAATATAGATTCAATTACCCATCTCTGAGCTTTTTGAGGGTGGGGGCCAGGAAGCAGATCAGGATGACAGTAAAGGCTAACCAAGCCCTTGGGAAAAGTTGGACGAGATGGGCAACAGTCCCAAGGAACATGGTGACTTATATCCCCTGTACCTTGGTCTGAACTCACCTAGAATCCGAGAGTGAAAAATCAGCTTCCTCGTACACCTCTTTCATCAATAAACTATCAGCAATGTAGCAATCATAATGGCAGCCCCTGTCTTCTCCCAGACACAGTTACTACTGTCAGATCTCAAAAACACAGATGCCTGCACGGTCTATATCCAAAATCCTCACCATGTTTGCCAAGCAGAGTCTCAGGGCGATAGCGCTCCTTGGGAAGGAACTGGAAAGGGGCTGATTAGCCAATATTATACAAGCTTTGAGAGACATTCCCTCACCAGTTACACACTGTAACCTACAGAAGAGAAAGCCGATGGTGCATCTCCCTGCTATCAAATACTTTGCATAAAGGCAAACATCAGCAACTATGAGCCCTGAAAGCCTCATACCAAACAACCACTGATGTCTAAACCCTCTAACTACCTCTGAGCTCCTCCAACACTCCCCATTCACTGACCCCTGACTTCCTCACTTATCAACCACCCACTGAGCCCTGAAGCCGCCAATGGCCACCCCTGGAGCACACCTGACCATTTCCTGATACCAACATTCCAACCCTCCAAAACAAAAATAAAAAACAACTACTATCTCACCCAGGAAAGCAAGGATCTGCTCAAGTTTGATTTTAAATAGTGGGAAAGGAGCTCACATTGGCGACAGACCCTGACACAGGTCAGCTACTTTAACTATACCATTTCAAATTCAGTCTCTCTCACCCACCCTTAACCTTCACCACCCACCTCCCCGTGCACCTGTTCCCTCTCCCTCTCCAACCCCTACCTTATCTCCTCAATGACTAGAGGGCCAGGCTCAAGAGGAAGTGATCTCCCAGCCAGGGACTCCTGCATTGCCAATGGAAATGGCACTAGTTTTGAAACTGATGCTGGTGTTTGCATTGAGGGGATTGAGTCATCGGGGTGGGTGAGGGTTGTTTTAAGTGGGTAGGGAGATTTGGCAGCTACGAATACACTATCGAAAATTTCCAGCAAAGAATGTCTGGGCTGTAAAATGGATGTTTAAAGCAAAGTGCAGCCACTGGGACAGTGATGCAGTTCCTTTTATTTTATGCTGTTTGCATTTTTTTTTAAAAATGAAGAAACCCAATTGCTATCACATTCACGCCACTGGGTCAATGTTCACGTTTAGGTTCAAGTTCACAAGAGATTTCCTCTCGGGCTTATGACTTGGTGTTGTAGGCTCCATGCAGCTGATTCATGGGGTTCTCAGGCGATTTCATCCACTCCTTCTTTAGCATCTGCTTGAGCTGAGACAAGCGCATGTTAGGATTCTCCTTTTTCAGCCGTGGCAAATTTACCTCTTCGTAGGCATTGAAGGCAGCTCGCAACCGTCGCTCGGGGTGATGATCCACACTCTGACCCGTGCTGAAACAACAGCGGTTATGATTAATAATGTACATTTCACTCAGAATGCACACAAGTGTCAAAGTACACATGATCGATAATGTAACAAGCATCTGTGAGAAGAATGATGTGTACACGTAAAATATCAATGTGTGCACACAGGCTATGTGCATTGTCAGTGTGTGACAGAACAGGTGTGTGTGTGATAGAGAGAGAGAGACACACAGACAATATCTGAGACAGGTGGATATGATCAGGAGTATGTGTGTGTGTCTGCATGCATATGTTAATACATGCTCAAAGGTGCAAATGTGTTAATGCGTCAGCATATGTTTGAGTCAATGCTGTGTTCTGTCAGCGTGAGAGAGTGCAAGGTTTCTGCTATTAATAAGACGCAGTGATATTAGTCAACAGTGTGCTGCTACAGACTGTCTGGTGCTTGCTGGTCGCTACTTTAACCGTCCACGTGTCAGAAAATCAGAGAATAGTAAGCACAGAATCAGGAAAGTTGGCTTCCAACTGCACAATGGGTCACTGGGATTTACAGCAGGAGGAAGACAACACAAAACCAAGGAGGCTACATTGAAACTCGAGAAAACATGGACTGGGCCCCATCTGGAGTAGTGAGTTCAATTCCTGGCCCCACACTTTAGGGAGGATATTAAGGCGAGGGTGCAGCAGAGATTTCCCAGAATGGCACGAAGGCTGAGGAACTTCCGTTAGGTGAAGAGTCTGGCAATCAGCGACTCTATGCTGGGGTTGTCCACCTTACAGCAGAGGTGGTTAGGGGAGGATTGCATTGAGGTGTTTCAAAATTATCAGTGGCTATGATAGATTAAATGGGAAACTTTTCCCTTGGCAGGAGGATCAGTATGCAGATTTTAGAAGGTGGGAAAGACTTATGGGAGAAATCAGACCACACAGTGAGTTGTTGAGATCCAGGATGTATTGCCTGAAAAGGGGGTGAAAACAATGCTTTGGGAGTTTTTAAACAAAAATTGGACAATACTTGAAAGAGAAAATATTGCAGCATGATGGTAAAAAGAACATGCAATACTGGCACACAGCTCAACCATTAGTGGGCCAGAATCATTCTGATTAAATTTATGATGCACTCCCTCAGAGGCTAGTAAGAACCCCTACGATGCAGCACACTGATTCACTCACAGTTCCTGAGGAGTGGTTAACCAGAGCTTTGTACAGCTGAAGGACAAACTCCTCCCACTTGTATTCTGGTGTCCCATCAGGGAGTCTAGGGGGTGGAGGGAATTGTTACTGACATGGGAAGGTGGGAAGGTGGGAAGGTGGGAAGGTGGGTCTGTGGGTGTGGGGAGGTTAATCTAAGGGACTCGGGCAGCCTGCTTGGGGCCAACAGCCTTTTAACGTAAGGCTATTTCTGATCTGTGCCCCTTCCTTACTTACCAAGCTTGGGAAGTCTAAAACCTAGAGGATTATTACAGATCCTGATCTGATTCACCCAACAAACAGGGATAGTGTCGCTCCACTCACCTCAGGGCAGCTATGGCATCTTCAATGGTCCTGGCATCTACATCTCCCTCGTTGGGTACAATGCGATTAATATTCTCCTCCAATGGCATGTCTAAATGGCTCATCTGTTTCACTGCAATTTAAAAAACAAGTTCCAACTATCAGAAATTTTCTTCTTTCCTCCACTGTACTGCTTAATATTGTATAATCACAGAGGGGAACCTAGGTTCAAGAGTAGGTCATTCAGCCCCCAAGAGTCTGTTCCACCAGTGAGATTGTGGCAGATCTGTGGCCCATATTCCTAAATACCTTTGCTTAATAAACATTTCTCTCTCAGATTTAAAATTAACAACTGATTCAGTATCCACTGCTGTTTGTGGAAGAGAGTTCCAAACCCCTGTCACCTTTTGCGTACAGAAGTACTTCCCAACATCTCTCTTGAATTGTCTGGCCCTAATTTTGAAACTATGTCACTAGTTCTAGAATCCCCAGTGGAAATAGTTTATCCACCCTGTCTTTCCCTGTTAATATCTTGTAGACTTTGATCAGATCACTGGTTAACCTTCTAAATCTGAGGGATAACACAATTTGTACATTTTCTCCTCATAACTTAGTCCCCAAGTCCAGTTATCATTCCAGATTTTTTTTTTTAAAATCACCATCTATCCTTTTGGGATTTTTCCCAGGTTCCCCAGAATATCGGCCTAAGGTTTTGGATTATTTCTCCAGAGACATAACCACAATGCCATCACTACTTGAGCTGGCAGTTTTGCTTCAGCTTCATTTACTGATGCTCTGGAATTTCCTCTTACAAATAAAACTCACTACCCCACTACCCCTCTACCCCACTCTGTTAGCCAAGCTTTTGGTCATTATTCTTACTGTCTCCTTTGGTTCGCTAATAGACGACAGTTATCATTCTTGTAAACCTACACTGTACTCCTTCCAAGGCCAGTGTATCCTTCCTAAGGTTCCTGAATTTAATCACAACATTCCCGAGTGGAGTTAAACCAGGGTTTTGTACAACTGCAATACAACATCTGCATCCTTGTACTAGTCCTCTAGAATAAAAGCCAGCATTCCATTAGCTTTCCTGATTATTTTCTGCACCTGATTATGACATTTTAAAGATTTATGCACTTGAACTTCCAAGTCTCTCTGGACAACCTCTGTATGTATTTAACTTCATACCACTTAGAAAGTACCTGATCTTTCCTTTAGAGGGATGTTAGCATTGAGGAAATACTGCCAGGACAGGTACAGCACAGGTTTGAGGCAATATAAAGCCCTTTGTATTCTCATCAGACCAAGTATCTATCCAGATTGGTCTGTCATTTTCACAAATGTAATGAGGTCAATCAGCCGAGGAATGTCAGGAACTGTGTTCAAGTAGTGGGTCTGCAGACAGTCAAGGAACCATACTGTATCATCAGAAAACTGAGATGGTTTAATAAATTATTCAATATGAAAGAGAAAAATGGTCCTTGATACTAAGATCCATCAAGTCAGACAGAGGAGCTGTAGTGCTCTCTGACAAGCGACCAGAAGGTGCTACATGGTACACACCGATTTTTTCACCACTAAGACTATACCTCAGATCTACCCAGATTGAGATCAGCTTTGACAGGGCAGCAGTGAACCTTGCAGCTAAACAACAAACTTACATTTATATATCAGTGTCACTGTACTAACGCTTCCAAACGAGCTTCATAGGTGGGTAGTCTATTGGCGAACGAAGGAGACAGTAGGAATAATGACCAAAAGCTTGGCTGACAAACAGAGTGGGGTAGAGGGGCAAGGAGTTTTATTTGTAAGGGAGGAAATTCCAGAGCATCAGAACAGAGCAGAACTGCCAGCTCAGATAGTGATGGCATTGTGGTTATGTCGCTGGAGAAATAATCCAAAACCCTAGGCCAATATTCTGGGGACCTGAAAAAATCTCAATAGGATAGATGGTGATTTAAAATAAAAAAATCTGAAATTAAAAACTAGCCCAATGGTGACCATCTATCCATTGCGAATTGTTGTTAAAAAAACCCATTTGATTAATTAATGTCCTTTAGGCAAGGAAATCTGCTGTCCTTGGCAGTTCTGGTCTACTCTACATGTGACTCCAGACACACAGCCAATGTGCCTGAATCTTAATTGCCCCGAAGGCAGTTAAGGATAGGCAGTAAATGCTGACCTAGCCAGTGACGCCAACATCCCACGAATCCATAATAGCAAAAAGGGTGTATGTGCATTTGTGGGCAGGTTGTAGAGTTAGAGGTGGTTAGAGATCAGGACATGATAAACTCAAAAGGTTAATTTCAACAAATGAAACAGGCACTTGTGGACCAGGAGGAGCTTAAATTGGTGATACCAGATGCAGAAAGGGGTTGCCAAATCCAATGCTGAGTATACAACAGCTATTCCAGATACCACCGAGATACCTTTTGCTTCCTCTGTGCTTTGCCCCACATTGTCCTTTTTAATGGTCTCCTCAATCTGGGCCCGGGTTATCTTGGGCGCTGTGATTGGTTTGGTCGATTTAGGTTTCATGCTGCTTCCCTCCTCCTCTAGCAGTCGCTGGATCTCTTTCTTGCGTTCCAGCTGTTCCACTCGCTTCTTCTCCTTTTCCATCTATAACCAAAGGCCACGAGGAGAAACAGTGAAAATGCCATTTCGTCAATAAGATGAAGGACAACAACACAACAGAGGTCAACATGCATGGGAATGCTCATATGACCCCGCTGGAGAGGAACAGTATAGACACCACGTAAAAGGAAAAGCTGAGGGACATATGAATTAGGAGCAGGCCTCTCAAACCTGCTCTGCCATTCAATAAAATCATGGTTGGTCCAAGTAGTTCACACTCCTGCCTACCCACGATAGCCTTTAACACTCTTGCTCATTAATAATCTACCTACCTTTGCCATAAATATAAACTAAGATTCTGGAGCTCGCTTCCTGAAGGTAGCAAAGACTCACGATCCCAAGAGAGAAAAAAAAAACTCCTTACCTCTGTCTTCAATTGGTCTCCCCTTATTTTGATAAAATGATCTCTTAGTTCGAGATATTTCCACAAAGTGGAAACATCCTTTCCTCATCTAACCTGTCAAGACCTTTCAGGATCTTGTGTTTCAATTAAGCCTTCTTCTACTCTTCTAAACTCAAGCAGGTACAAGCCTACTCAGTTCAACCAATCCTCAAAAACAAACTTCTCACTCCAGTAATAAGCTAATAAACCTTCTTTGAACTGCTTCTGATACATTTATAACTTTCTTTAAATTAGCAGACCAATACAGTGCGCAGTCCTTTGGATATGCTCTCACCAGTGCCCTGTATAACTGGAATGTAACATGCCCATTTTTACACTTGATTCTCCTCACAATAAGCAATCACATTAGCTTTCCTGATTACTTGCTCTATCTCTGTCGTAATCTTTTACAATTCATGCACAAGGACACAGATCTCTCTGTATCTGCTCACTGTTCACGTAATACGCATAATTTTTATTTTCCCTTCCAAATAGACAATTGACATTTTTCCTAAATTATACTCAATTTGCCATATCTTTGTCCATTCACAACTTATCAATATCCCTTTATAGTCTCCTTTGCCCTTTTCACAATTTGCTTTCTTATCTTCGTGTCATCAGCAAACTTAGCTACTATACCAGTTCTGAGGAAGGGTCACTGGACCCAAAATGTTAACTCTGATTTTTTTTCTTCACAGATGCTGCCAGACCTGCTGCACTTTTCCAGCAACTTCTGTTTTTGCTCCTGATTTACAGCATCCGCAGTTCTTTCAACTTTTATTTAGCTACTGTACCATCGGTTCTTTATTCATTTTAATGAACTTGTAAAAAGTGGAGGCCCCAGCACTGATCCTGTGGCACATCACTCATTACATCTTGCTGAACAGACAATGACTCACGTATACATGCTCCTGGTTCTCTACCACCCAGCCAATCCTCTATCCATATCAATGTTAGCCCTATACAATGAGCCTTCATTTTCTGCGATCATCTTTCATGTTGCACTTTATCAAATACCTTTTAGAAATCCAGGTACAGTACATCCAATGGTTCCCATAACAGATTACATGAAGTTCAGAAAGAAAACAATTCAAAACCAATAGATGATCATTTTAATGATTTAATTAACAGAAAGAACCATTATCCAGCAGCAGAGCTAGCTAATAAAACCTTTTTTATTTTGCAGTTTCAGAAATGGAGCAGAATTAGACAGAGAAAATCCATAGAATCCCTACAGTGTGGAAGCAGGCCATTCGGCCCAATAAGTCCACACTGACCCTCCAAACAGCATCCCACCCAGACCCGTGCCCCTACCCTGTTCCTTTTAACCCTGCATTTCCATGGTGTACACACTTAACCTACACATCCCTGAACATCAGGGGCAATTTAGCATGGTCAATTCACCCTAACCTGCACATCTTTAGACTGTGGGAGGAAACCAGAGCACCCGGAGGAAACCCACACAGATGCGGGGAGAACGTGCAAACTCCATACAGTCAGTTGCCTGACAGTGGAATCGAACCCAGGTCCCTGGCACTGTGAGGCATCGGTGCTAACCACTAAGCCACTGAGCCACCAGATATAGCCCAGATCACAAAGGAAGGGGATGGGGACCAGGGCTAAGCTGAGGGGTTGGGTTTAACTAAATCTGACCTTGGTTCCCGTCGAATGAGATACATTCCATACACACTCCCAGGAGAGGGACAGCACAGGGTTAGATACAGAGTAAAGCTGCCTCTGCTCTTTTAAACTGACAGTAAAGCTTTCTCAACACTATCCCCATCAAACACAGCAAGGGGTTAAGGTGACTATGAATGGTCAGTGTCCAACCCATCCAATCCTTCCAATACCCTCTCTAGAATACTTACCCACCCTCTTCATGATGCCCTTCAATTTAACTTCTCAGAATTTAGCTCGACTCAGTAGATAGTATTCCAATCACGGAGTTGAAGGCTATAGATTCAGTGCCAATCCAGTGACAGTGGATCTGTTGACACTCCCACTGCAGTATTGAGGGAGTGCTGCAATGTCAGAGGTGCTGTCTTTCGAGAAAGAGGTTAAGCTAAATTCCACTAGGCCCCTCTAAGGGTTGTAAAGATTCCGTGGTCACTGTTTCAAAAAAGAAATACCAGTACGGGACAAGGGGCTGCTCCTGATGTTCTGGAACCAATATTTATCTCAACTAACACTGTTGATGACTAATAATCTGATTTAACACATTGGGAGTGGGATGTTGCTGTGTGCAATTTAACTGTTGTGCTTTCTACATTAAAACAGTGACTACAATTCAGAATAGTACATAGTTAGCTGTAACACACTGTTACAACACGGGGATTGCCTACGACAGGGTGAAACGCAAGTCTATCCTTTTTTTAAAAAAGAAAATTGGCTCCAGATATTTGCAGGTGAATTTTAACTCGATGGGTGATGGACACAACAAGCAGAGAAATGGTGTCCAAAGATGGGTTAGCGATTCTAAGAGGGCAGAGTGCCCAGTCTGGGTTAGATTGCAGCTTTTTAATTTGGTGAAGCGGAAACATGGAGAGAGGAGGTTTGTTGGAATCTACATTTTATATTCATGAAGGCAAGGATCAATTGCATAAAAGGTTGGTTGTAACACGAGACTCCTCACTTGGACTCACCACTTCTTAAAACCCAAGGTTCTGGAGTGATTAAGGAAAAGCACTGGTCACAACTCATTAGTATAACAAGGAGCAGAAGGGGGTAACTTACTGAAAAATTCAACAGCGACACAGTTACAGGATCAGCACTCGATACTTAGCGGAACATGGAGACAGCTTGTTGTAGCTGAGCATTGAGAGGGAGCTACTCTCCTCTGTTTTTCAATTCCAGTCCGAGATAGATGGAACAAGTGCATCTCTTACTCTGCTGATTGAACCGGAGCTGCATTAACCTCGAATTCAATCTCTCTGACAAGAGGTGCAGTTACTGCACAGGAAAGTCTGACCAATGAGTAGGGAGTGAGGGGAGCACTTAATCCTGATTTGTGTTGGGAGGGTGGTGTGGACAGAAGAGGGATATCTGCTGGCATTCTTGCTGCTGACCCTTGACTAGTAACCCCTGGGTTAGAGAAAAGGGAAAAGTGAACCAGGGTCCCTGCTCCTGATCACTGTCCAGTGAACTGTTGGAAACTGCATGTCTGATGTAAGTCAACTGCAGGACAGATGCTCCCTCAATTAAATATTCCCAACCTCACTTCCGAGTTCTGAGGAAGGGTCACCGGACCCGAAACGTTAACTCTGATTTTTTCTTCACAGATGCTGCCAGACCTGCTGAGCTTTTCCAGCAACTTTGTTTTTGTTCCTGATTTACAGCTTCCGCAGTTCTTTCGGTTTTTATTCCCAACCTCACTCTCTGCATCAAAGTGAGTGTGGTCTCCCCTCCCAAATCTGTGTCCCTCATTCACAGAGCTCCATTTTTGATTGCTCAAATCAGCTTTTTGTCACTGCCATGGTATCAAAGTCACAAAGTGATATCCTGTGCGAAGATTAATGTTCCCTCACCGTTCCTTCTTGACCAGTTTGCAGTCTCTAGCCCAATGACCACATCCTCATCCTCATCCTCATCCTCATCCTCCTCCTCCTCCAATTCTCCACGGTCAGCCAGGCTGCCCTCACCCGATTCCACGCAATCAGCAGCAATGGCTACTCTTCCTGCTCCCACACCATTAGCTCTCGATTAACCCTTGGCCCCCTTCTCTTTCTCACCCACTTGCTGCCCTTCAACACCACCACCTGAAGGCACAGCACTAACTCTCACATGAATGCTGGTGAGATCCAGCTTTACCTTTTGTTCATTCACAGGTTGTGGATGCAGCAGGCTGGGCCAGCATTTATTTCACATCCCTAATTGCCCTGAAGGTGATGGTGGTGAGCTGCCTTCTTGAACCGCTGCAGTCCACAGGGTGTAGGTAAACCCACAATCCTGTTAGGGAGGGAGTGCCAGGGTTCTGTCTCAGTGACAGTGATGGCGACATAGTTCCTCACAAGGTTGGAGTGTGGCTCAGAAGGGAACTTTGCAGGTGGTTGATGTTCCTATGACCTGCCTTATCCTTCCAGATAGTGGAGGCTGCGGGTTTGGAAGGTGCTTTCTAAGGAGCCCTGGTGAGTTACTCCAGTGCATCTTGTAGATAGTACACACTGCTGTCACTGTGAGTCTGTGGTGAATGAAGTCAATGTTGAAGGTGGTGGATGTGGTTCCAATCCAGTGGCTGCTTTGTCCTGGATGATGTTGAGTATCTGGAGTCCTGTGGGAGCTCCATACATCCAAGCAGGTGGGGAATACTCCATCTTATATCCTGTAGATGGTGGACAGGCTTCAGAGAGACTGGAAATAAATTACTCACCACAGATACCTAGCCTCTGACCAGTTTTTATAACCACAGTAATTATATACCTAGTCCAATTCAGCTTCGGGTCAATGATAACACCAGGATATTAACAGTGAGGAACTCAGCATTGGTAATGCCGTTGAACATCAAGAAACATTGAATATACAAACAGAAGGCCATTCAGCCCTCTTAGCCTGCTGCACAATTCAACATGATCATTGCTGATCAGCCAATATAGTCCTCAGTGCCCAATTTCTTCCCAAATCCTTTGATCCCTTTAGTCCTAAGGTCTATAACTACATCTTTCTTGAGAGTCTTTAACGGTTTTGGACTCAATAGTTTCCAGTGACAGGCTTAACCCTCTCTTGGTGAAGAATTTCTCCTCAGCTCTATCTCAAAATGCCCATCCTTAGACTGTGACCAGTGGTTCTGGGCTCCTTAGTCATCGAGAACGTCTTTCCTGCATTAACCCTGTCTAGTCCCAATAGATGTTTGAACGTATCCACAAAATCCCCCCTCATTCTTCTAAACTCTAGGGAAGAGTGTCTTAATCAATCCGGTCTCTCACTGTACATCAGTCCCACCATCCCAGCAATCAGCCTAGTAAATTTTCTTTGCACTCCCTCTGTAGCCAGATCATCCTTCCTCAGATAAGGAGACCTGAAATTGTGCTCAATACTCCAAGTGCGATCCTACCAATGTTTTGTACAGTTGCAGCAAGACATCCCTGCAGCTGTTGGAGCAAATTAGTGCAGATGCTAGAATCGGTACTGAAAACAAAAAAATGCTGGAAATCACAGCAGGCCAGGCAGCAACCACGGAGGGACAGCAAGCTAACGTTAAGTCTGGATGACTCTTCATTGGAGCTGATGTGAAGAGTGGAGGGGGACAGCATTATGCAATGGTGAAATTGCAGCTGTACTTATATTCTCTCACTATGAAGGCCAACACTCCATTGGTTTCCTTCACCACAAGCTGCACCTGCGTGCAGAGGGTGATGGTGGAATCCTCTCTTGTTGGAGATGGTCATTGCCTTGCACTTGTGTGGCACAAACGTTACTTGTCACCAAAACCTGCATATTGTCCAGGTCTTGCTGAATATGTACAAAGCATCTCTTTCAATAGGTACTCAGCTCTTTTTCACCATCACCTCTCTGAACTTGGCAACAGTGAAAGAGATTTATTTGACATCCATTACTGAAAGACTAAAGTAACTGTTTTTGGTTCCCCACTCTGTTCGCTAGTTACTGACTCCATCCTTCTCCGAGCAACTGGCTAAGATCATGTCAGGCAGCATGGTGGCTCAGTGGTTAGCGCTGCTGCGTCACAGTGCCAAGGATCAGGGTTCAATTCCATCCTTGGGCAACTGTCTGTGTTGAGTTTGCACATTCTTCCCGGGTCTGCGTGGGTTTCCTCCCACGGTCCAAAGATGTGCAGGTTAGGTGGGTTAGCCATGGGAAATGTGGGGATGGGGTAAGGAAATGGGTCTGGGTGGGACGTTCTTCGTAGGGTCAGTTTTTAAGGAGGTAGATACATCTCTGTGGCTAAAGGGATCAAGTAGTATGGGGAAGGGCAGGATTAGGGTATTGAGCTCACTGGCCGAACATGATCATAGTGAATGGCACAGCAGGCTCGATGGGCTGAATGTCCTACTCCTGCTCCTGCTCCTGCTCCTATTTTCTACGTTTTTATTACATGAAAGACAATATGCAAATACAAATTCTCCCAGTTCACTGATGCACAACAGGTGCGGAGGTGAAATTCTGTGGAACCATATTCTATCTTTCATAAGAGACAGAGAGAGCTGCATAGAGGAATTCTCCCACAAATTCTGGACATAGGTATAACAATTTGGGATAAACTGCATTGGCCCTGCCAAAGCCCACAATAGCTGGAGCAGTTCTGCCACCCAGTGGCAATGGCCTGTAGCTGCAAATAGGTACAGTCCAATAGCTCCAGCATTGGCCTTTCTAAACAGTCCCTGCCTACCAGTATTTCAGATACACCGCCTACTGCATGTTTGTACACCACAGGGAGACGGTGCTAAAAATACACAGCAGCTAACATGAAAGGATTTACATTTATAAACAGTCGGCACTTTCACATTCTCTGTAGGTGTTAAGCAGTTTGCAGCCAAGAACCTTTTTTTGAAGAAAGTCCAGTCGCTTTAACCCAAAATAATAACAATAATCAAACTATGCACAGCTAAGACTCCACAGCAGAACATGATTGAATGCTTTAGTGTTTCTGGTTGTGAAATAAATATTGATTCAAGGACACAGGGGAAATTCCCTCCTCTCCCTGGAAATACTGTGTGATATCTTTTCGCTCTATCCAAGAGTGCAGATGGGGCTTCAATTCAATGTCTCATCTGAAAGACAGCACCTTGGATAGTGTGGCACTCCCCTTATATCTCTGGTTGTTCTGGGATGTTTGATGTAGATGGCATAGAGAGACCTTTACTTTCAGTTTAAGAGTATAGGGAGTGTAACTCTGTATTTAACCCCATGCTATCCCTCTCCTGGCATGGAGTGAGTGTAGTCTGTGACTTTGCTTAAAAGAGTATTGGGATCTTAACTCTGTCTCTAACCCTGTGCTGTACCTGTCTTGGGGGTGTTTGATGGGAACAGTGTAGAGGAACTTTTACTTTCTGTTTAAAAAGTAGAGAGCACTTTCTACAGGGTCTAACCCCACGCTATATAAAAACCAAAAGAACTGCGGATGCTGTAAATCAGGAACAAAAACAAAGTTGCTGGAAAAGCTCAGCAGGTCTGGCAGCATCTGTGAAGGAGAAAACAGAGTTAACGTTTCGGGTCCGGTGACCCTTCCTCAGAACTGATGGTGGCTGGGAAAA